GCTGTACTATTATATTACTTAATAAGGATCACCCTAACGATAAAACGGTATAATATGGACCCGAAGTAGTACCTTAAGCTGTGTATTCTTATATTACTCTATTAATTATGTATAGTAAAGTATTACAGAACATGTATTAATCCTATGTAATATTTCCATTTATTATGCACCATCTTATGTATGTGAATTATCATATTTACATATTATGTATTCAGCTTGTGAATGCTGGCATCTGTACATGCCAGAGCTGAGTGATACAGAGAGTTGAGATCGCTAATCCTTATGGTGTGGAAGCCAACGTCTATTTGTTTCCTCTGTATATCTCCCGTACGAGAATAAGAACCTATTTTCAAGATAACAAGTGTTTGCTTATACCCTCCGTAGTGTAGAACATTTTGGGGGTATCAAAGACAAACATAGAAAACTAAGCTAATCTAAACTAACCTAACACAACCTAACCTATAACTAACATGATCTAACCTAATTTAACTTAACACAATTTAACCTAACGTATTATGGTCTAACCTAGAGGTTCCCAAGCATTTTCCAGTGCGACCCCGTCTAGTACTGTCGCCTATCCAGTGCGACCCCCAAGTCATTACATACAGTATGCTGTATATATGAAGATCCTTAGAGTAAATACGGACATAGTGATATTCGTATTTAACTGTAAAAACAAGTAAGGAAAATGTATTACATAATCGAGAAGTCTAAAAGTAAACACTGGCAGAAACAGGCTACAACTCTGTTATGGTTAAGCAACACAACATACAGTGGACAAGTTGACGGTCGGAATTTTTTCGTAAGATGGCAGATCAATGGGTAAGGAAAACGCTTAAATTCACTATGGTAATGATATTTTTTAATAAATTGGACCAAAAAGTGTCAAAGGGTTAAAGTTGCAGAAAAGTCACGTGACTGCGAAAAGCTCTGTGATTGGCTGTGACGTCACTGCCTGGGGTGGGCCGCAGAGCTGGAGGCAGTCCAACCTTCTCGGCTGATCGGCTTTGTAAATAAATATTATTATATAATTAAATGCGTTTTGCTGTGCAACACAGTAATACTATTTTGAATATATAAATATTACTAAGCACATAAACTAATTCAATGGATATGAGCTGCCCATACAACATATTTCATAGTATAAACATTTCAAACAATATTGGTATTATTTTTGTTTTGGTCATCTGGGGAACCTTAAGATTCTAACTAAGGGATTAAATTCTTTAAACACTAAGACATATTATCTCTACAGGATTTATGTCGCAAAACACTTTTCGATCGCATAAGAAAATACAGATCATATGTTAGGTTAGGTTAAATTAGGTTAGGTTAGAGTATGATGAATTATAAGGTTAGCTTAACATACATCGGTAAGGGGGGGGTGGTTAGTAACTCAAAACTAGTGATTTCCGATAGAAATGGGGACCTAAATCATTCATAACACATCGCAAACCATCAGAAAAAAAACATAGTCTGCATGTCTAAGTACAGGGATAACCAAAACTTAAAATTTACCCCCTATAGCCTATCTCGAATCTAAACATCCAAATACCCATGGTAGTTAAAGTAAAAGTTTACCCATTAATTAACATAAATGGTGATATATCCCAGTGGTTCATTAGTGAATCATCAAAACAATAACAGCATTATGTTGTCATGTTTACCTAGCATCAGGCATTATCAAAACAAAGTCCAGACAATGTCATTACTTCTAAATTTACTCGTATCTCCATCTAGTACTGATATACTTTGTAAATGCACTGAAAAAAAAGAAAAGAAAGTCTACCAGGTAAGAGTACATGACAGCTGAGCTGGTGTGAACATGGGAGTCTTTTATGTCCAAAAGAACATAAGAATGGAGGAAACTGCAGCAGGCCTACTGGCCTGCTGCAGTAGTCCGACACGGGCCTTTGCCTATAGGCGGCCCGTTCGGTGGTTCCGGCTGGAGCTCCTGGAACAGCCAGACCGGATTGGGATTGT